TTACCTAGCACCCGTTTCCTAATAACAGCGTTGCTCACTCGGGTGTCCCAGGATATACGAGCAATGCTTTGAAGACACCTATGATCGAAAAACAGTAACCGACGAATATCTTCTACTCTCACTGGCCATGTTTCACAGCCATAAAGTTCGATGGAGCCAACTGCTGCGCAGTAGACTCTTCCTTCGGTTAGCCTACGCCATAAGTGACGCAGGTTGGCAAAAGCCAATCGAGTCTTCTGTATCTGTGCTGAGATTTCGTCAGTCACCAGGCCATCAGCGCTAATGAGACTCCCCAGATAAGTGAAGCAGTCTACACGTTCGACTACTTCACTCCCTATCACTAGTTCAGGTGCCGATGCAAGCCAATCTTGAAGCAACATTTTGCATTTCGAGGGGGGAAATGCACTTTATTAGATACCTTATAGATTTTTTCTCTTCCTCGAACATGTAATCGCACAGATGATGCCATAACACACATAAGCACAAAGGCGCAATTGTCCATCTAAATCGTATAGTAGTAGAGATGGTAGTGGAAGTATTAGTAGTAATCAAAAAGATTAATGATCGAATACATCATTCAAGATGTATACTACGGAGGAATCGATTAAAAACATTGGTCATGAGGAATTCAGACTAGGATTAGAGAGAACACAGAGAATAGACGCACCTGAGACATAGCAAACGATTTGAGCCATGTCATTCAAGACCTCTAATCATTGGTGACTTTCGTCTCACAGACCCCAACCAGGTAGCCCACAGTCCACTTGTTAGTAACTTCATGGATTTGTGCCATGTTTTGGCCGCGCCTAGCTCCCTCCCAACCTACCCCGACTGAGTCCTGTTGGCAGATGTAGGCTACCTGGTTGGAGTCCGCGAGACGACAGTCAACGATGGTTAGAGAACTTGAATGACATGGCTCAAAATCGTTTGCAGTGGCGCAGATGCATCCATTCATTGTGTTCTCTCAAATCCTAATCTTCTCGATTCGTCAACACCTCTACCTTTGTCTTTCTAAACTTATCTCACTGAATCATACTTCTTGAATATTATCTTCAAATCCTGATCTTCTCCATTAGCAGTAATTGTTCTACTATCTCTACCACTATGAGATTTGAATTAACAATTGCGTCTCTATGCTAATGTGGTATGGCAACATGAACTGATGTACCTACTCAATAGTCCAAAGATAAACCAGCAATGCATCGGAGACACCTATGATCGAAAACCAGTAACCTAGGAATATCTTCTACTCTGACTGGCCATGTTTCATAGCTATAAAGTAGGACAGAGAGAATTTGTGAGTAGTCTGAGATGTTGCTTGGATTTCTAAATTGAAACAGATAGTTGAATTAGAGGATGACTACTCGAGCCACTGACCTACAAGTCTAATACTCAAGGCAGTGGAGCAACGTCAGAAATTGCCGTCCCCATGATATCCGGTGACTAACAAAAGGTTCATACGCCATTCGTTCCATCAGGATACTGGACCCCATAAGTATGATTGGTTTGGAATCAGGGATTTCCAACTCCCCCAGGTGGATATTTTATATCAAGCAAGTGCCTGACAGTTGTTCTTCGTGCTCTCAGTTTTGCGAACAATATTCTCGTCACAAGAAGTCAGTGAATAGGACTTCCTGGGAGTAGTTATATAAGCATAACCATATGAGAACATTTTGAGAAAGAGAGAGAGGACTCTCTCAACTCTCGGTCGTACCAAGGGATTTGACGGCTACCCTATTGTAATGTGAAGTATTTATGAAGTTAAATACTCTTGAATATAGTTATATCATTTCTCTACTATACCTAAATCCTTACAGACAGACAAACAGATACAATGCAGAACCTCGTACGTAAGTACATCAGTTCAGGTTGCAATACCACATCAGCACAGAGACGAAATTGTCAGTTCAAATCCAAGAGTGATAGCGATAGTATAAGTATTAGCAGTAATGAAGAAGATTAGAGAGCGAAGATATGATTCGAGAAGTACAATTGAGTGAGATAAATTGAGGAGGAGAAAGACAGAGATGATGAGGAACTCAGAATGTTAGAATTTGAGAGAACATAAAGAGTGGAGATGGTATTAGTCGTGGAGATAAGAGAGGTATTAGGGGGTGTAGGAAGGATTTCATTTTGACCGATTTGGTCTCGTGTGCTGTTACGGGTATGAGGGCGGTTGTCACTTCCCAGCTGCCCATACCGTGGAAGGTTGTTTCTTGAGGAACCTGAAGAGGAAGGTAGATCAGCGTGAGTCTGAACGACCTGAGAGTGCGACCGCAGAGCCCAAGGGACAAATGCTTGAGGCCGGTCACGCACGGCCTTTTTATTAAAGGTTTTTTGAGTGTTAACTCCGCTCTTAAAAGCCCTTAGTGGAGACCCTTACCGCCGGAGACGGAAATCCTTGAGGTAGGGTGAGGAGTGAAATTTTTAGGGTCGACCTTTACTAACCCTTCCTTCCTTGTGAGAAGGCGGAGTCGCTGCAGATGCTGGTTATCCGAGGGAAACACCTTACTGCTGCCACACCCCTCTGCAGTCAGTCAGCAGTACGACTTCGCCCTCAGACATTGAGTAGCTGCTTTTAGTCTCATCGTTCTCCAATCGACTTGTCTGGCATGGTAGAACCTTCAGCAACATAAGTACCAGCCAATATAGCTCGGTTGGGTCATCACGATAGGCAGGCCCGACCACCACGTCAAGGTAGCAGCTACGGTCGGGATATATTATCTGGCACAGCTAGATGTCTCTATAGCATGCTTCAACGACTCCCGTTGATAAAAGGTTATCATTTCCAGAAGATTTATAGGAATATAAAGTGTACATGCATCCATGAACTATTTTGAGTCATGTTACTCAAAGTGTCCGAACACCAGCTGCCCTCATCACATGGATAACAATCAGGTAGTTCGTATATACTGGCAAAAAGATTCAGATGAATAGCCAGTAGCCAGTGATAGCATGTCTTAGTTGCCCTTAACTTTCATATACCTGTAAATATAGCTTGTCGAGTCAAGAGATCATTAGGTAAGCAAAAAACACATCCTAATCACTTTAAGTCATGATATTCTACACCTAACAGCAATGTAACTCATTAAGTCGTTTCATGAATAATGCTGTAAGAAATGCTGTAAGAAAATCCGTAGTCTACATATGTAATTTACTTTCAGACAATTGATAATAGCATAATGAATGTTAGAAGATTAAAATTAACCGGTAAGAAGCTCTAGAAATTAGATTATAATACTATTTTTAACATTCATCAAAGGATTGATACTCTTCAGAGATTAGAAATAAGCATTTTAAAGTATCATATCAACTTACTTACTTACTTATGCCTGTTACCCCCAATGGAACAAAGGCCGCCCACCAGTTTTCTCCAACCAACTCCGTCCTGGGCTTCCTTTTCCAGTTTTTGTTAATTCTTCTCATGTCTTTCTCTATTTCTCGGCGTAATATGTTCCTAGGCTTTCCTCTTTTCCTTCCATCTTGAGGGTTCCATGTGACGGCTTGTCTTGTGATGCAGTTCGGTACTTTTCGCAATGTGTGTCCTATCCAGCGCTTCTTCCTGATTTCCTCCTCCACTGAAGGGATCTGGTTTGTTCTGTAACACAGGAAGTTGTTGCTGATGGTGTCTGGCCAATGAATCCGAAGTATTTTGCGAAGACAACTGTTCATAAATACTTGTATGTTCTGGATAATGGCTTTGGTAGTTTTCCAAGTTTCCGCTCCATACAGTAGAACTGTCTTGACATTTGTATGGAAATCCTGATTTTGGTGTTGACTGATATTTGTTTGGAGTCCCAGATATTTTTCAGTTGTAAGAATTCAGCCCTTGCTTTGCCGATTTGAAATGAATTATTTCGACGTAGCTTAGTAATATCATACTCACAGACCCGTTCGAAGTAAAGACCAGTGTCAAGTAAGGTTTACTGGATTATGAAGACGTCAATATCTGCAAAGGAACACAGAATACAGTGGACAGCTCGGATGCTGCTGGACGATCTAGACTTCGCACATGATCTGGTTCTTTTATTGCAAATGCAACAATATATGCAGCGGCAGTAAGTCTCGACAAATACAAGGGGATAAGCAAGCTTCACCAACTAAATCACACTTGATGGAAATGCCTTCGAGGATGTAAAAACCTTGACATATATGGGCAGCATAGTTGACGAACAAGATGGGTCTGATGCAGATGTGAAGACAAGGATCAGTAAAGCAAGGGTAGCATTTCTACATATGAACAACATTTGGAACTCAAAGCAACCATCAACTAGCACCAAAGTCAGGATTTTCAATACCAACGTTAATAGAGTTCCACTATATGGGGCGGAAACTTGGAGAACTACCAAAGCCATCATCCATAAGATACAGGTATCTATTAACAGTTTTCTACACAAAACACTTCAGATCCACTGGCCAGACAGTATCACCAATAACCTACTGTGGAAGAAAACGAACTAGATTCTAGTGGATGAAGAAGCGCTGGAAGTGGATAGGACACACATTGTGGAAGGCACTCAACTGCGCTACAGGACACGTTTTCACTAGAAATCCTCAAGACTAAAGAAGAGGAAGACCAAAGAACACATTACAACGAAAATTAAAAGCGAACATGAAAAGAATGAATATCAATTGTACAGAACTAGAAAGGAAGACCCAGGATAGAGTAGGTTGGATAATGCTGGTCGGTGGCTAATACTCTATTGGAAGTAACAGGCTTAAGGAAGTAATCATAATATACATTCTGAGAAAAGCCATACTCAACTATATTAGTAAAAGTAGTTTTCAATTTATTACATCAGTTATGAATCAAATTAACAAGCCATCTTGTCTTTCAGAGCAACGTTTGATAACAGATATCGAAAATTTAATGCTTTCCAGCCAACTAAACTTATGGTTCAACACACAAAAACCAATAACTTCTTCAAACATGGAAACGTTAGCAGGTCTTTCTTAAAATTCGAGAATAATTTTATATACTACTAGCAAATATAAGACGCCTGAGTTGATTAAAAAAAAAAACAACGCAATAAATGCCTGAACTATCTAATTCGTACAGTGAATAACCATGTGTAAATAGATTTTTCTCTGTTTACGAACTAAACTTACCACATATATAGTTAAATCTGGTTGAGATAAAAAAAATGAAATTGTATAGCTAGAAAAAGAGAAAATCTAATTTCTTAAAAAAATCAAAAGAAATATTTCACAAAAAAAACAATCTTGATTTGATTTACAGTGTTCATTAAATACAAATTACGTCCATCTAGGTAGGTTATAAATGTAAATATATAAGTCATTTTGGAAAATTAAATACGAGGTAAGCAAATAAAGTGAAATAAAATGAAAAAAAAAACAAAATTCATGATTGTCTAAGTCTAGCTAAACGTTGAGTAAGACCATCTTCTTCTTCTGCTGATATAGGAGCCACTGAAACAGGGCCATTTGTTGAACCAGGAAGTTCATAGTTTAATTCTATGCCAGTTTCATCAGCTATTTGATTTATTAGACCTTGGACTTCATTTTCAGGAGTTGAAATAGACATTGTATTGGCTAGCGAAGAGCTTACCAACTATTCAAGTATCATTAACATAGAAAAAAGAAAAACAAACCTTTGATTGTATGTCCATATTGTCAAATTCTCTTTCAAATTTATCCATAAGACTGCTAACTTTTTCCATATCCATTGATTTAGCTGCACTTTCCATACAATTAACTACTGTCATAATGCCTCTAGTGAAATTCTTAGTAGTAATAGCTGCTTGAACTCTTGAAACTACAGCATCAATTCTAGCAGCAAGTTTAAGATAGGTTGTTGCAGTGTGTTTGTGTCTAACAGCGTTTTCTGCATGGATCCTGGCACCTTCATGGTCGCCTTTCTTGATGGCATTTTTCAATTTGAGCTTAGACTCCGCTTCTTCCCTGTTGCAACGATTAGCACAATTCTGCATTTGTTTTGCAGCGAATTTTAGATTGAATATCTGCTTTTCCATAGTTATTCCACCCGAAGTAAAGTTATTAGCAGATGTCAGTCGAAAATTGCGCGCGATATTTATGTCTACTCCTATTGGTCGATTTTTAGGGCATTCCAGTGGTTAACAATTTTTATGTAATCTACAATCTTCATTTGTTCAGATCATTTTTTGTTTGAGTCCTTTAGGTAGACGATTGTCACGCTATTTGTTTATCTCATTATCTTTTAATATTTATTTCAATGTCTCACGACTTTATGACAAATCGACAATTCTGAATATGAATCTGCTGTGTGGCGGTAAAAATATATTTCTTGATCATTTCATTTACAGACCGGAAGGACAGTATTTTCACAATCTGAAAACATATAGTAGTAAATACTAACCCATTTGACACTGGGTCATCGATGATACCATATTCATGTATTCAGATCGGCTGTTTTGTTACTCCTGACGGCAATAAGAAACCAAAACATTATAATGCGTAGTGAATGATTCATCTCGCTTGGTAAAATAGGTAAAACTTCACGTTTTAGACGGATACCCCAAACCTTGAAAGGTTGCACTAACAGATAGTATGCAGTTTTATCAGCTTCCATGATATATTATCTGCATGCTGACTTTGTCCGGCACTTCTTTACTTAGTAGCATGATCATAAGCACTCGAAACAATAATTCGTCGTTCAGCCATAGCAGCTGAGGAACCTGCAATAGATTTCGTAGGATCATAATTAATTTTTGAAGCTTCATGACCTATGACGATGTTGAATTTCTTTCGAAATGAGTATTTATGAAGTCCTTTAACGAACCTAACACAGCTGATATTTCTCGCTGAGTTTTCCAGTAATCCTGTAAAGCGACAGCAGGTTTGAGTGGCACGCATGTTTCTGGTCTATCCTCCTGCTCTAAAGTTGCACCAGTGTCCTCGATGATGCATCAGATGCAAGTGGAGAATCGTCTGCAGGGGATTAAGCCCGAAGAACTACAAAAATCGGGTGAAACTTTAGTAAGCTTCGAGTTCATGAATCTTGTTCTGACCTATATTCTAATGAGTAGGATGCCAAGATTCGAAGTAGACAATAAACATGGAGTTAAAGTTTGGAACAAAACTTGAATCATATTCACTAGTGAAAGTACTTCTGTAAGATTTTTTAGGGAAGGTACACTCTTCAGTGGAGCTAACCACTTCATATCTTGTCCGGAACCGTTACTGTCACTAAGTATTCAAGACATTCAAGTTTGATCAAGAAGACGAACACATTAAAATTTGCCGCAATATCCCTCTCAACTAGACTTAATAATATACTGATCATCTACCGCTTAATTAGGATCATGAATACTAAGATCATCTTGATATAATTTCACGCCTTTATGACTACTGGCTGCATTCTTCATATCTTCTTAATCTATGGTTTGAGAACAACTCAAACCAAGTGGAAACTTTCTGTATTCAAATAAACCGAAAGGGTTAATAATTGCTGTAATAATGGATAAGGATTGGATTAGTTACTGTGAAGGCAAGCATCTCTTAAACTGGATTTTGAGAACCCTTAGGGATCGTGTGATCGATTGAGAATGTCTTCCGCCTTCATTGTGATGCAAGTTTACTTCAGCAACCTAGAGTTCACTAACAATAAGTAAAACCTATATATTCTAGTTTTCGTACCGTCTGACTTCAAATGGATGACGGTAGGAGAACTCCATTGGATTCTCATGCCTCCGCAACACTTAGCACAAGCAGCTTTCAGACAATCAAGTAAAGCGTCGGAATCTCCTTTGAAAGCATAGAGAGACAACTTTACTTTAAGTCTTTTTATATTTCACAGACCTTGAATAGACGGTACTGTTTCGCTTACCGAAAATTTACAAGGTGTACATGAAGAACGGTCATGCCTTATCGGTAATCCACAACAATATCGAAAGTTTAGTGGACATAGACAGAAACAGTCAGAAAATTACAAACAAATAAAGGATGTGAGAATAATGCTAATGTTAACAAAAATAAAATAAAAGTAAAAAATTAATATAGTTTGTCAAGTTGTTATGACTGCTATCTGAGGAATGACTATAATAACAGCTAGCAAGTCTCGAGATACGTATTAGGCAGAGCTGGTCCAAGCGGGAATCGATAATCCGTATGAGAGTGCGTATTTATCGAGTCTGTGATCACCTTGGCTGCGAGAGCATCCCAAGTTGCGAAAAACTCTTGATGCGAAAAATTGTACGCGAACCTGGGTATTCTCTCTCTTATGTGTAATCTTTCGACGGTCAACCCGAAAGGCGTGGTGGTGATTTTTTAGCAAGATGCTCATATTCGGATGATTTGGCGTATTTTCTACGTTGCATATCACTGTTAAATCACCTCTGATTCCCCCATATCCCGATGAGAATAATCCCACTTGTTGCAGTCAGCATTCCTAAGACTTACTTTTCAACCCTATCATCCACTGCGAGTCTCTGGACTGAATCCAGCACTGTTATGTCTCCTTTAAGGAGACGACAATGTAAACTGCATTGTGTGGCTGTATGTTTTAGTGAGAGTTATGAACAATCTTCTTGCGATTGAATCTATTTGTCTTCGCACAAAGTTAAGGTTTGCGTTAGCCATGAATGAATCCCCTTCCTAATTAGAAGAATGTGACGTACTGTGTCGAAAGCCTTTTACGAAGTCAAGGAATATTATTTGAGTCAGTATGTTTCTATCACAGCGGGTTGTTCGACTGTCTTATACTATAAGAAGATTGGCTACACATGATCTGCCTTTCCGAAATCAGTGTTGTGCTTCATGGTGTATGTTGTTCTTATTCATGTTCTCCCTTATTTGCGGTCCTCTTATTACCTTTGACAGCAATGGAAGCATTGCGGCTGGTCTGTAGCAGAGTGAATCCTTCCTATTTCCCCCTTTGACGATCAGATTGAGAGTAGCCTGTTTCCATTCAGCCGGGAGTTGGTGTGACTCCATTGAATGCATGAACAGGTCACATATCGGTGAACTAAGGGCTTCTGGACGTTGTTTCAAGAATACAGGGTGAATATTGTCACACTCTAGTGACTTTCTTGGGCACAGAAAATTTAGTTTTCTTAGTACTACGTCAGGAGTAAGTCTGATATTACCTAGACCGTCAGCTGGCACTAGGTTTTAGTAGTACTGTAGGTACCTGGTTTAACTGATCGGTGAAGTTGTTATTAAAGATCTCAGCCATTTCTAGGTTGGTAAGATCCTCGCCATTCGGACCTTTGAGAACACAAACACCCTGGTTCGTAGGTTTTCTTCTAGTCATGGACCTGAACAGTTATTTGGGTGTCGCCTGTATCTTGTCCACTACCTCAGCCCAGAAGTGTTCCCTGTCACTTTGAACCTTGGTATTGCATGTCTTTCTCAAGGTGAAGTAGGAACTGAGGTCAGGATCCTACCATATATGCCAGTCTCACCTCTTTGCTGGTAACAAGCGTTTGATGCTTTGTCTAACCTATGTTCTTTTCTTTCTCTGTGCGATGAGACTAAGGTACATTGTGTTGGAGAGCATAACTTATGTGACAAGTCACCTTTAAAACCGACCTGTAGGAGTTTACCTTGTTCTTTGAGATTTGGAAAAGGAGTATGAAAATCTCTATTTAAGAGTATTTGATCGAACCCAAGTATTTGCAATGGGAGTTAGTAAATTTATCTTTCTGCGTCCTGGTGCATGAGGGGCTACGATGAATACCTTCAATCAAGTGTTTTATATCATTTGTGCTGAAGCAACACCAGCATAATCCTGTCACATTGATTAGTTGAGCGCCTTGTAGTCTTTCCGTTTTAAAATGACTGTCAATATTTAAGGCCCACCCGCCTCCTATTTTCTTTATCATACCGCAGTTTGAACGAGGGTTTCCGGGACGTTTAGAGGATTTCTTCGGCAACTTGTGCTGAATGTAGAGTTACTCTCAACTGAGTGGGTTTACCTTTGGCGACGTTTCGACCCCTGAACAGCGCACAGTTTGGATAGGGTACTGCTCATTCCAAGCATCGCTCAGTGTTTACCCGAAAGTCTTTTTAATAAAGACAACCATACTTACCAGTAAGCCACCTGACAACACTCGGTTATGAAACAAAATTAGTGGATTAAGTCTAAAGTCACTGTCCCTGATTTGTAGCATTTTTGCAGCTAAGGTGTTATCTTTTTTGCTCCTTACGTCAACCCAATGCTCCGTACTGTTAACAGATACTAGGAAGTCTACAACCACCAGCAGTTTCGTCGATATATTGGTTCAGTTTGCAGCTACCTATGTCGTATGTTTGGTCGGTTCTTTTGAAAGGCGAAATAGGCCTACATAGGAGGATTAGTATCTTCATTTCACGTGCGTTAGCGGCTTCGCTGTAGATAATAATTTTCTGTCAGTAATTCTGTACTGTAAAAATCTTACCAGAACCAAAGATGGGTGTGACTCGGCATGAACACATATTAATGTCTAGGTACCTCAGTGACGCAGAGACAGTGAACGCTTGCATTGCAGAAGTTACATACAAATGAAGTGTCTTTAGTTTTAACTGGCAACCAACAGGCAATAAAATTATCCTTGTGATCTTTCTGAACATCAGTTTGTTCCATTTGGGTTTTAGGTCTTTTTCTCCGTTCCTTATTTCTTTTACTGGTCTTACTAGGAGTAAAAATCTGAGAGGAAGTGTCAACCTGGTTTCTTAGTTGGAGATCCAGTCAAGGTTCTATGTCCAAGTGATCCTAATTATGTACATTATTCTGAGGTTCACCATCAAGCTAGTACTTCACAAATTTGAGAGCGGACAAGGAGATGATTTGAAAAGGAGAATGCACGAGATATAGTTTTCGAGGCAGAAAATTTAGGAAAGATGCTCGAAATAACAGCCTCCTGTTGAACAACTTCGCGCGGAACCAGTACCTTTCCCACAAGCGCTATGTTTGAGAGGGTATGAATGTGTGTATGTTGCCGAAGCAACCACGAAGACAGCAGTTAATTGAATCAGCTAAACCTACTAGAGAGTGGTTCCGACTTGGAAAAGTTCCATTAGTTTGGATCGTTTAATGTCCCAATCTGGTATCAAGAATCGGATTGTTTCCTGTCAATGGTGAGAGGTCAATGAGGAGACGACCTTGGGTAGGGGAGTGGACTGAGCTTCTAAAGGACCGTACATCCTTTAAGAATAGGCTGCGAAAAGTTGTTTGAAACCAAACTAGCCGAAATGTCACGTCATGT